AATCTCGTTGAGTTTGCTGGAGGGGCCGAAGAAGCGTCTATGGCGAAAATACTTCTGTCCCAAGCGGTGTCAAGTACGCGGACGAATGGTGCTGATCTATGGCAAGGAGTTAAAGAATGTCATAGATAACGATATCTGGGAGATAATCGATCATCCGAGAGGCGAGAATGTTATAGGCAACAAATTTGTTTTACGAAATAAGTACCATCTCAACGGTGATCTGGAGAAAGGCAAGAATCGTCGCTAGAGTTTTGCCCAACGCCCCTGTATGGATTACGAGACTTCCTCTCCCGTCGCACGTCTAGTTCCATCTGCCTTGCAATTGCACTAGCATCAGAATGTGGGATGATGATCGAGCAAATCGATGTAACGGCGGCGTATTTTAATGGCGTACTGGAAGAAACAATATATGGAAGTCTCGGAAATGACAGAAGAAATTTTAGAATTCCTAACGAGCGAAGAAGAAGAAGACGACTCACGCGAAAGCCCAAAAGATGAGATACTCCGTGCAGGAGATAAAATGTGTCTATTGAAAAAGGCAGACGAGCTACGTCAGGTCAGTCACCAATGGCACATTCGACTAGATCGAGAGCTCAAGAGTCTACCCAGTCCGGAAATGATTTCGGTGTTTATTTCCGTGATCGAGGAGGAGACTTGGCGATCATAATCATCTACGTGGATGACATCTTAATCATGTCTCAAAACAGTTCGGAGATAGCAAGATTCAAGAACGGGCTGATAAGAAATTTCTCGATCAAGGAGTTTGGCGAGTGCGGCGTTGCCTTGACTTGGAATTCGTTCGGCGAAGTGAGGGATTTTCGATCCACCAGAGAGATTATCTGGAGGAAGTGATGTCTCATTTCGGGATAACAAACTGCAAGTCTGTGTCCACGCCCATGGCATCAGGTCTAGGATCCTCAGAAATAGAGAGACGAAGCACCGAGAACGCCGAAAAAGCAAAAAAAGTTCCTTACCGCGAACTCGTGGGTTCGCTGATGTACTTAGCAACGGTAACAAGGCCTGATATTGCGCACGCAGTCAGCTGGCTGAATCGTTTCAATGACTGTCATGAGATCCACTGGTCTGGCGCTAAACGTGTGCTGCGTTACTTACGGGGTACGTCTGACTCTGGCATATAAGCGGACAGGTCGCTCGCTGATCGAATACGTGGACGCCGATTGGGCGAATTGCCCCGACGATAGAAAGTCGTATACCGGCTACACATTCTAATGGGGCTGTATCCTGGGAAAGCACCGGACCATTGCTTTATCTTCGACCGAGGCAGAGTATATGGGAATATGCGAAGCGACTAAGAAAGCGATCTACATACGGATTTCTGATGGAACTCGGCTTCGAGGATTTGACCGATATCCAATTATTTTGCGACAACGTGGGTAGAAAAACTCATAATAAATCCAGTGTTCCATTCGCGCATGAAACACATAAACACCCGGTATCATTTTGTGCGAGAAGCTGTAAGAAACCACGGTATAAAGCTGAAGTATATGCCGACAGAAAACATGGTTGCCGACATACTTACAAAGAGTTTAAAGCATCGCAAATGCTTGAACCCGTTAGGATTGATTCTTTAGTTCCTAGCACAACGAGGGGGAGTATTGAAGCTCAAGTTTCCCGTGCTCATGCGTGAATCGCGCTACGATGCCACGTTATAAATCGCGAGATGTCGCGATTTATCTCTCTACCTCTATCTTACTGTATTCCTCGTTCATTGTTTTTCTCATCAAGCCCATTCGCTGTGCTTTTCACTACGTGTGGACTCTTCAATATAATAAACTCAGCGTAAAGATTACACGGATCGTTATCGTTTCTTTCCTAGCATACCCTTCTCCTCAATAAATTATGTACCTTTAAAGTTACTCTCTTGCTCTATTAGATTATGTGAATTAAAATTAATATTAAATGATATGATTTAAAATATGGACAATAATAAATAATTTTTGTATATCCAGTAACACATTAAGATATAACGCGGATTATTCACAACATTTCATATTCAACTGACAAATTTTTGAAAAGTTAATTTTCTTTTTCACTGTATTGTAACAATACAACTTTATTTTTCTCTAAATATGGAAATAAAAATAATACATTTTTTGTAATAAAAATTGCACATAGAAGTAATCATATTTTTTAAAAAAAGGTACACAATTATATTGTACTGTACAGAATGCATAAAGCATTACTGAAATTTAGACGCTCAGTTCTCCTTTTTTTCTGTTCGACTATAATCTTATATAGTGTATTTTTAAGACTGCTCCCTACTCAATTATATTGAATATGTAGGAGTCAATAATGAGCCGTTTCTCAAGCCAAAGGTAATAAATGATACATATCTTACATATTAGAAAATGACGTACAGAGACGATTATTTATATATCATTGGACTATTGGTACAGAATATATTCTCCCCTTTGGGCTATATTAGAATTTTCTTTGTATCTAGATACAGAAATGAAAGTAGCATTTTTCTTTTTTATTTAATAAAAGTTGTTAGAAGTAATTCTAGTAGTTATCTAGTAGCATAGGTATTATTTTAAAAACGTATTCTAAAGATATAAATATTAAATATGCATAGGAAGAGAGGAAATACCATTGACAAGAAATATTATCACGGTAAACAGCATTGAATATCTATTCAAGAAGATATTCATCGGTGCACTCTCTTGAAACTGTGTTATATGAGCTTTTTTATCATATGATAGAAATTCTATCAAATTAAAGTGAGAGACATACCGTTGTGAATACTGTTTAAAGATTTCTATCAATTAATACTATAGAGAGTTGGAAATATATATTATAATATATTTGTGTATATATTTTTTACTTCTTCTTAATCAAACAAGAATTAAGAATGCATGTTTTAAAACTGACACGTACAATCGTTACAATCGCTGGATGCTTTCGACCACTTTCGTGGACATCTTCGTTTAAACGGACAATTTACAATATCTACAGGTTATATATAATTAGTATGTTATATACATTCTCATTATCACAATTTATGGACATTGTATTAAACGTTAAGAATCCTGATGATTTTACTGATAATTTAAATATGATGATGACTTCATCTGCTGCAAGCTGTAAGATATTCATTATATGGTTAAATTATAAGAATATTACGGCGTTAATTAACTATCTTATCGAAGAGCCATTTAAACCTTTAGACTTAGGTGAGATAAAAATTCGACGACAATATGATAAAATAATAAGGTAAATATATTTTTTATTTAATAATCTTTTGTCTTTTATCAATTTTTAGTCTATTGTAGATATTTTTTTATTTTTTTATTTTAATACTGTACATATAGAGTGCATGCCGAAATACTGAAGAGTAATGAAGAAGAGTGAAAATCTATATAATTACATTATGATATATTTTAAATTTTCAATTCTATTAGCATATTTCGAAACGCATTCGAAATTCTGTAGTTATATCTTTAAAAAATATATTTAAAATTATGATTTAACTTAAGAAATTAATTTTTGTTATTTACTATTTAGGATATTTAAGAATGTGTAAAATAAATTTGTAAATAATTTGATAAGAAATTAATTTAAAATTAAATTACATATAATTATCAATAATATTATTAAAAAGTAATATTTTACTATTACAAAAAAATGAACGTTATTTTATGTTAAGGTTTAAAATATAACAATTTCTTAAATTTCCTTCTTAGGAACAATACGTTACGTTATACGAGTTTGATTGGAACAACATGTTTATTTATATCCTTGGTGTCATTATTTACTGACTTCAGACACAGGAAATTAACATATAGAGAATGGGTGCCATATAATTATTCATCTTACATGACTTATTCTTTAACGTACGCTCAGCAAATGATAAGCACAATGCACTGTGCTTGTGTAAATGTCGGTTGCGATACTCTCTTATGTGGATTCTTAATGCACATATGTTGTCAGATCGAGATACTGGAATATCGTCTCAAGAAAGTCCTGAATAATCAATTTACTCTGGGTTATTGCGTACGCCATCACAATCGAATTTTTGAGTTAGTTACTATATTAATGCTATAAACTTATTTAACATTTAGTATTGCTGTTAAAAGTATTATTTAACAAAATTGTATGATTAAAGTCATTGTTTCTTCTTTTTATTTTTTATCCCTATTTTCACTATTGTAATAAATTTGGAATTTTATGTACAGCAATAAAATAAAAATAATTAAAATGCTTTAAAGAAATTTTATATAAAAACATTATATCACACATTATTATTATCAGTTTCTACTATTATTGCAATTATGAGTATTTCTATGCTTTATTAATATGTTAATTTGTTAACTTAGCATGTATAATTTTATTCATAATTTATAAATTGCGAAAAATAATGACAAAATTTATTTATTAATTATGACAATATAATTGTTCTTGTTAAATCTTATTTATCAGTAATAATAATATAATTGCTTTTATAATATCTTGATATACAAATGTTACAAAATTGAAAACTTAATTGCAGGTATGCACAGATGGTGAATATGAGATTTACAAAAATAGTCGGATTTCAATTTATAGCAAGTACGATGGTGATTTGCTCCAATTTATATCAATTAACCAAGTCGACTTTGAGCGCAAATCATGTTACATTAATTATGTATACAAGCTGTATGCTGACACAAATATTTATTTATTGCTGGTTTGGAAACAAAGTCAGATCAAAGGTATATGTAATAAAATAGATCATTAGAAATCATAAATAATATATTTTACATATTATTCTGCAGAGCCTTCAACTAATGGAAAATATTTTTCAAATGGAATGGCCAATTGTGAATAATACTATTAAAAAAGGCTTTATAATAATTATGAAACGTGCAATGGTACCTATTGAAATTTCTACTATATATATATTGACCATAAATTTGGACTCTTTTGTAGCAGTTAGTATAAAAAAATTTATCTTAATGTAGTTGCAGTAATTAATTCAAATAGTTATTTAATAAACTACAATACTTATAATTTTCATTATATTTATATGATAAAAATTTCTTTATTAAATTATTTACTTATATGTTTATAAGCAGTCTAGAATTTGCTAATATAATTATTATTTTTTATATATTAGTATTATCACATTTTTAATAATTTTAAATGTTTATTTATCATTTCAGTTACTTAAAACATCATATTCTGTTTACAATTTATTGGTACGAGTACAGTAATATTAGAAATAAGAAAATATATAGTACAATATTATTTAAATAATAAAATGATTTTCCCATTTATTTTATGTATATTGTAAAAGAAAAATATAATAAGATGATTGTTATCGAAAAAAATCTTAATATTTTATATTTATTTTATTTAAAATAAATGTTATATATACTTAGCATTGATTTTTATATTTTAAAATTATTATATATCAGAAAAAAATATAAAGAAAAAGTTAAAATTCGATGTTAGCAATTGTTCAATTTTGTATATTTTAATAAAATACATTTATATTTTTACATTTTTAAATAAATTGATATAAAGTAAGAAACATATGCACATATTTTCAATAAAATGTTTTTATAACTTTACTTTAATACTTTTATATGTAGAATTATTAGAGGAACGGTAAAAAATAGTTATTGTTATTAAAGAAAAAGATGAAAATTATAGTTTACTATGGAATATGCAGAGAATATAATACTTCTTTGCTTGTTTATGTTGCATGTAAGAATCAATATCAAGATTGCATCAAAATAAAAAAGATAAAATATCTTATATACGGATAACAGATATACATCAGATAGACATAATTGTATTGCATCGCACATAAAGTAATATTATAAAAATTTAGGTGTTGCTAAGTTTCTTGATTTGTTTTTTCTATCTATTTGACAGTAATCTTATAAAGTATATTTTTAATACATATATGCTTCCTACTGAATTATATTGCATATGTAGGAATCAATACTGAGCAATATGCTCGGTATTCTCTCTTTGTCTCTAGATAAAGATAATAAATAAAATATGTAACTTATATGTCGATAAATAACATGTAAGGCGATTATTCATAACTCATACAATTGGTGCACTCGGATGTCTAGGCCCGTACAAACAGAATTTCAAGAAAAGGGTAACTATTTTGTCACCTTTATAGATGATCATTCACGTTAGTGGTTGTTCGTTTCGTCAGGCACAAAAACGAAATATTTAAAGAATTTGTCAAGATCAAATCCTTTTTCAAAAATCAAAAGGGCATAAAAATAAAATGCTTGCAGACCGACAATGGTACGGAGTACTTGAGCAACGAGTTCAAAGATTTCCTGGACAAGGAATTCAGCGACGTCTCACCGTCCTACATAGGACCAGAATGGATGCTGAGTGCCGCAACAGAATCTTGATTGAGATCGCGAGATGTCTCCTCATTCAGTCGAGCCTACCGCGATCATTTTGAGCGAAAGCTATAACAGCGGCTAACTACATAGAAAACAGATGCTCGTCAAAATCGTTATACGGAAGGACTCCTTATTATCCAAATTGTCGAGTCTCGCCGTGATTCTCCCTTCTTATTCGGGGGCTCGAGCCATTCTTGATGCAATTTCTCCTGTCGCGCACCAGGAGGATTATTTGTATATTTGCCAGTGGCGTTGGAGGGTGTCACCGCTGCAAGTCCGATCTGCATCCATTGAGTGAGAGACCAACATCGCTCTGGAGTACCGGTCGTGGGGATTCGAGAGAATATACACACATATATATATATGTATATTGTAATATATGTATATGTGTGTATGTCATTGTATTGTTGACGTGTTGTTCTAAATACGTTAGTGCGATAAATATCATTACATGCCTCAATAGTCGAAAGGATAAGATGCCTGCCCGGTAAGCAGGAGATCCAGTTCGATTCCTGGCTGAGGTGGTATTTTTTCGCAAAATAATTACGAGTTTTCACGACTGATTCGTGGTCGAGCCCCGCCGTGACGCACACCTCCCTTCTTATTTGGGCACGGGAAAAAACCCGACATCCTGCATCTAAATGAGTTCGGGAGCGAAGTCTTCATTCTCGATAGACTTCCGAATAAAGAAAAATTTGATGAGAGGTCGAAGAAGGACATGTTACTCGAGTATTCAAGAATATGGGTTCCCAGAGATCGGAAGATAGAGGTCGCATGAGATATTAAGTTAGTTCGATCTAGCGAGTCCAGTGACAATGAAGCGGTGCAATCGTCAAACGACCCAAGTATGATATTTGCACCAGAACTGAAATTCAAAAGCGAGCGACCGGGACTTGACATTTCGTTGACTCCCCTTACACCGAAAGCGAATCAGAGCAATACGAATGAGGAAAATGTAAACGAAGAGCCGCTGAAAGCACGCATTCGAGAAGAGATCCCAGGAAGTCACGAAAAATAAGGACAGGTAGCAGAGAGTACAACCTTGTTGAGTTCGCTGGAAGGGCCGAAGAAGCGTCTATGGCGAAAATACTTCTGTCCCAAGCGGTGTTAAGTGTACACGCGAACGAATGGTGCTGATCTATGGTAGAGGAGCTAAAGAATGTCATAGATAACGATATCTGGGAGATGGTCGATCGTTCGAGAGGCGAGAAGATTATAGGCAGCAAATTTGATTTACGAAATAAGTATCTCAACGGTGATTTGGAGACAAGAAAGGCAAGGATCGTCGCTAGGGTTTTGCCCAACGCCCGGTATAGATTACGAGACTTCCTCTTCCGTCGCACGTCTAGTTCCATCCGCCTTGCAATTGCACTAGCATCAGAATGTGGGATGATGATCGAGCAAATCGATGTAACGGCGGCGTATTTTAATGGCGTACTAGAAGAAACAATATATATGGAAGTCTCGGAAATGACAGAAGAAATTTTAGAATTCCTAACGAGCGAAGAAAAAGACGACTCACGCGAAAGCCCAAAAGATGAGATACTCCGTGCAGAAGATAAAATGTGTCTACTGAAAAAGGCAGACGAGCTACGTCAGGTCGGTCACCAATGGCACATTCGACTAGATCGAGAGCTCAAGAGTCTACCCAGTCCGGAAATGATTTCGGTGTTTATTTCCGTGATCGAGGAGGAGACTTGGCGATCATAATCATCTACGTGGATGACATCTTAATCATGTTTCAAAACAGTTCGGAGATAGCAAGATTCAAGAACGGGCTGAAAAGAAATTTCTCGATCAAGGAGTTTGGCGAAGTGCGGCGTTGCCTTGACTTGGAATTCGTTCGGCGAAGTGAGGGATTTTCGATCCACCAGAGAGGTTATCTGGAGGAAGTGATATCTCATTTCGGGATGACAAACTGCAAGCCTGTGTCCACCCCCATGGCATCAGGCCTAGGATCGTCAGAAATAGAGAGACGAAGCACCGAGAACGCCGAAAAAGCAAAGAAAGTTCCTTACCGCGAACTCGTGTGTTCGCTGATGTACTTAGCAACGGCAACGAGGCCTGATATTGCGCACGTAGTCAGCTGGCTGAATCGTTTCAATGACTGTCATGATGAGACCCACTGGTCTGGCGCTAAACGCGTGCTGCGTTACTTACGGGGTACGTCTGACTTTGGCATATAAGCGGACAGGTCGTTCGCTGATCGGATACGTGGACGCCGATTAGGCGAATTGTCCTGACGATAGAAGGTATATCGGCTACGCATTCATTTTAGCTAATGGGGCTGTATCTTGGAAATCCCGAAAGCAACGGACCGTTGCTTTATCTTCAACCGAAGAGTATATGGGGATATGCAAAGCGACTAAGGAAGCGATCTACATACGGCGATTTTTGACGGAATTCGACTTCGACGATTTGGCCGATATCCAATTATTCTGCGATAACGTGGGTGCGCAGAAACTCATAGCAAATCCAATATTTCATTCGCGCATGAAGCGCATAAACACCCGGTATCACTTTGTGCGAGAAGCTGTAAGAAACCACGGTATAAAGCTGAAGTACGTGCCGACGTAAGACATGGTTGCCGACATACTTACGAAGAGTTTGACGGGTCCGAAGCATCGCAAATGCTTGAACCCGTTAGGATTGATTTCTTAGTTCCTGCACAACGATGGGGAATGTTGAAGCTCAAGTTTCCCGCGTTCATACGTTGGGCGTGAATCGCGCTATGTCTCCACGATGTAAATCGTGAGATGTCGCGATTTATCTCTCTACCTCTATCTTACTGTATTCCTCGTTATTATTTTTCTCGGACCCATCGGGCTGTGCTTTTCGCTACGTGTGTGGACTCTTCAATATAATAAACTCAGCGTAAAGATTACACGAATCGTTATCGTTTCTTTCCTGGCACACTCTTCTCCTCAACAAATTATGTACCTTTAAAGTTACTCTCTTGCTCTATTAGATTATGTGAATTAAAATTAATATTAAATGATATGATTTAAAATATAAACAATAATAAATAATTTTTGTATATCCAGTAACATTTAGATATAATGCGGATTATTCACAACATTTCATATTCAATTGACAAATTTTTGAAAAGTTAATTTTCTTTTTCACTGTATTACAACAATATAACTTTATTTTTCTCTAAATATGGAAATAAAAATAGTACATTTTTTATAATAAAAATTGCACTTAAAAATAATCACATTTTTTAAAAAAAGCTACACAATTATATTGTACTGTACAGAATGCATAAAGCATAAGCATCGAAATTTAAGCGTTGCTCAGTTCCTCTTTTTTTCTGTTCGACTGTAATCTTATATAGTGTATTTTTAAGACTGCTCCCTACTCAACTATATTGTAGGAGTCAATAAGCCGTTTCTCAAGCCAAAGGTAATAAATGATACATATCTTACATATCAGAAAATGACATACAGAGACGATTATTTATATTTCATTGGACTAGTGGTACAGAATATATTCTCCTTTCTGGACTATATTAGAATTTTCTTTGTATCTAGATACAGAAATGAAAGTAGCATTTTTCTTCTTTTATTTAATAAAAGTTGCTAGAAGTAATTCTAATAGTTATCTAGTAGCATAGGTATTATTTTAAAAACGTATTACGTTTTACGTTCTAAAGTTATAGATATTAAATATGCAAAGGAAGAGAGGAAATACCATTGACAAGAAATATTATCACGGTAAAATAGAATATCTATAGATATTCATCGGTGTACTCTCTTGAAACTTGAAACTGTGTTATATGATCCTTTTTATCATGTGATAGAAATTCTGTCAAATTAAAGTAAGAGACATATCGTTGTGAATACTGTTTAAAGATTTCTATTAATATTATATTAATACTATAATTAATACTATTAATACTATAGAGAGTTGGAAATATATATAATAATATATTTGTGCATATATTTCTTATTTCTTCTTAACAAACAAGAATTAAGAATGCATGTTTTAAAATTGACGCGTACAATCATTACAATCGCTGGATGCTTTCGACCACTTTCGTGGACATCTTCGTTTAAACGGATAATTTACAATATCTACAGATTATATATAATTAGTATGTTATATACGTTCTCATTATCACAATTTATGGACATTGTATTAAATGTTAAGAATCCTGATGATTTCACTGATACTTTAAATATGATGTTGACTTCATCTGCTGCAAGCTGTAAGATATTCATTATATGGTTAAACTATAAGAATATTACGGCGTTAATTAACTATCTTATCGAAGAGCCGTTTAAACCTTTAGACTTGGGTGAGATAAAAATTCGACGACAATATGATAAAATAATAAGGTAAATATATTTTTTATTTAATAATCTTTTGTCTTTTATCAATTTTTAGTCTATTGTAGATATTTTTTTATTTTTTTATTTTAATACTGTACATATAGAGTGCATGCCGAAATACTGAAGAGTAATGAAGAAGAGTGAAAATCTATATAATTACATTATGATATATTTTAAATTTTCAATTCTATTAGCATATTTCGAAACGCATTCGAAATTCTGTAGTTATATCTTTAAAAAATATATTTAAAATTATGATTTCACTTAGAAATTAATTTTTGTTTTATTATCTAGGATATTTAAGAATGTGTAAAATAAATTTGTAAATAATTTGATAAGAAATTAATTTAAAATTAAATTACATTTAATTATCAATAATATTATTAAAAAGTAATATTTTACTATTACAAAAAATAAACATTATTTTATGCCAAATTTTCAAATATAATAATTTCTTAAATTATCTTCTTAGGAACAATACGTTACGTTATACGAGTTTGGTTGGAACAACATGTTTATTTATGTCCTTGGTGTCGTTGTTTACTGACTTCAGACACAAGAAATTAACATATAGAGAATGGGTGCCATATAATTATTCATCTTATATGACTTATTCTTTAACGTACGCTCAGCAAATGATAAGCTCAATGCACTGTGCTTGTGTAAATATCGGTTGTGATACTCTCTTATGTGGATTCTTAATGCACATATGTTGTCAGATCGAGATATTGGAATATCGTCTAAAGAAAGTCCTGAATAATCAATTTACTCTGGGTTATTGCGTACGCCATCACAATCTAATTTTTGAGTTAGTTACTATATTAATGTTATAAACTTATTTAGCATTTAGTATTCTGTTAGAAGTATTATTTAACAAAACTATATGATTAACGTCATATTCTCCTTTTTATTTTTTTATCGCTATTTTCACTATTGTAATAAATTTGGAATTTTAAAGCAATAAATAAAAATAATTAAAATGCTTTAAAGAAATTTTATATAAAAATATTATATCACACATTATTATTATCAGTTTCTACTATTATTGCAATTATAAGTTTTTTCTATGCTTTATTAATATGTTAATTTGTTTAGCATGTATAATTTTATTCATAATTTGTAAATTAATCGAAAAATAATGACAGAATTTATTTATTAATTATGACAATATAATTGTTCTTGTTAAATCTTATTTATCAATAATAATAATATAATTGCTTTTACAATATCTTGATATACAAATGTTACAAAATTGAAAACTTAATTGCAGGTATGCACAGATGGTGAATATGAGATTTACAAAAATAGTCGGATTTCAATTTATAGCAAGTACGATGGTGATTTGCTCCAATTTATATCAATTAACCAAGTCGACTTTGAGCGCAAATCATATTACATTAATTATGTATACAAGCTGTATGCTGACACAAATATTTATTTATTGCTGGTTTGGAAACAAAGTCAGATCAAAGGTATATGTAAAATAGATGAATAAAATAGATCATTAGAAATCATAAATAATATATTTTACATATTATTCTGCAGAGCCTTCAACTAACGGCAAATATTTTTCAAATGGAATGGCCAATTTTGAACAATACTGTTAAAAAAGGCTTTATAATAATTATGAAACGTGCAATGGTACCTATTGAAATTTCTACTATATATATATTGACCATAAATTTGGACTCTTTTGTAGCAGTTAGTATAAAAAAATTTATCTTAATGGAGTAATGCAATAATTAATTCAAATAGGTCTTTAATAAACTACTAGTATTTATAATTTTCATGATATGATAAAAATTTCTTTATTAAATTGTTTACTTATATGTTTAAGCAGTCTAGAAATTTGCTAATATAATTATTATTTTTTATATATAAATATTATCATATTTTTAATAATTTTAAATGCTTTCTTATCATTTCAGTTACTTAAAACATCATATTCTGTTTACAATTTATTGGTGCGAGTACAGTAATATTAGAAATAGGAAAATATGTAGTACAATATTACTTAAATAACAAAATGATTTTCCCATTTATTTTATGTATAGTGTAAAAGAAAAAGATAATTGTTATCGACAAAAATCTTAATATTTTATATTTATTTTATTTAAAATAAATGTTATATATATATATATATATATATATATATATATATATATATACTTAACATTGATTTTTATATTTCAAACTTATTATATATCAAGAAAAAAATATAAAGAAAAAGTTAAAATTTGATGTTAGCAATTGTTCAATTTTGTATATTTTAATAAAATACAGGTTTATATTTTTATATTTTTAAATAAATTGATATAAAGTAAGAAACATGCATATATTCAATAAAATGTTTTTATAACTTTACTTTAATAATTTTATATGTAGAATTAGAGAAACGATAAAAAATAGTGTTATTAAAGAAAAAGATGAAGAAGATTATAGTTTACTACTGTATGTTTACTTAGTATATGCAGATAATACAATACTTCCTTGCTTGTTTATGTTGCGTGTAGGAATCAATATCAAGATTGGATCAAAATAAAAAAGATAAATAAAATATCTTATATACGGATAACAGATACATCAGATAGACATAATTGTATTGCGTTGCACATAAAATAATATTATAAAAATTTAGCTGTTGCTAAGTTTCTTGATTTGTTTTTTCTACCTATTTGACAGTAATCTTATAAAGTATATTTTTAATATGGACTGCTTCCTACTGAATTATATTGCGTATGTAGGAATCAATACTGAGCAATACGCTCGATATTCTCTCTTTGTCTCTAGATAAAGATAATAAATAAAATATGTAACTAATATGTCGATAAATAACATGTAAGGCGATTATTCATAACTCATACGTTCTTAGTAAACTATTGGTAAAGAATATATTCTCTCTTTTCAGTTACATTAGAATTTCCTCTAGATTTAGATATAGAAATAAAAGTAGCATTTTTCATTTAATAAAAGTTGCAGATAGAAGTAATTTTAATCAGCTATCATTTATATGTTTTTGAAACGTAATATTGGAGACGTATTATTGCAAATTTTGTACTACAAAGATACAGATATTAAATATGCAAAAGAAGAGAGGGAATATCATTGACAAGAAATATTGTCTCTGTAGAATAGTATTGAATGTCTATAGATATTCATCGTTTCACCCTCTTGAAACAATATTATATGATTTTTTTTTATCATGTGATAGAAATTTTAAGTCAAGTTAAAGATAGAAACATATATTGTTGCGAATCTTTTAAAAATTTTTATCACAACTAATATCACAGAAAGTTGACAATATATATTCAAATACACATAATCAAATATTTGCATATATATCTTTTTATTTTTCTTAATTAAACAAGAATTAAAAATGCATATTTTAAAATTGACGCGTACAATCGTTATAATCACTGGATGTTTTCGACCACTTTCGTGGACATCCTTGTTTAAACGGACAATTTATAATATCTATAGATTATATGTAATTAGTATGTTATACACATCCTCAATGTCACAATTTATGGATATTATTCTGAATGTTGATAATCCTGATGATTTTACTGATAATTTAAATATGATGTTGACTATGTCTGCTTCATGCTACAAGATGTTTATTGTATGGCTAAACTATGAAAACATTGTGGCGTTAATTAACTGTCTTATCGAAGAACCATTTAAGCCATTAGATTTGAGTGAAATGAAAATTCGGCGGCAATATGATAAAATAATACGGTAAATATATCTTTGCACTTAATAGTATTTTATTTTACACTATCCTACTATAAATATCTTTTTATTTTTGTTTTTTTATTTTAATACTGCACACATCAAGTGTTTGCGGAAATGTGTTGAGTAATGAAAAAGATTGAAAATTTATATATTTATATCACGATATATTTATATCACGGTCAGAGTTTTCAATACCGTCAGCACATTTTGAAAGACATTCATAATTGGCTCAATTTATAAAAAACATATTTAAGGTCATGATATGACTTAAAAATTCATTTTTATTATCTAGATTTTAGGATTATTTGAGAATTTTTGCGGAATAAAATCATTATTTAATAATAAATTAATTAAAAATAAAATTAAACTTAATCATCAATCATCAAATATTATTAAAAAGTGATACATTACTATTACAGAAATAAATACATAATTATTTTATTTAATCATGTATTTATTTTTACATATTTAAATATTTCATATCAAAGTTTATAATATTAGTTTTAAATATAATAATTTCTTAAATCACTTTCTAGGAACAACACGTTACGTTATATGACTTTGGTTGGAATATCATGTTCACTCAATGCTGTGGTATCGTTTTTAACTGACTTCAAAAACAGAAGATTAACATACAGAGAATGGGTGCCATATAATTATTCGTCTTACATGACTTATTGTTTAACTTACGCTCAACAAATGATAACCACATTTCACAGCGCTAGTGTAAATGTCGCTTGCGATACTCTTCTGTGTGGACTCATAATGCATATATGTTGCCAGATCGAAATTTTGGAATATCGTCTAAAGAAAATCCTAAATAATCAGCTTACTTTGGATTATTGCGTACGCCATCACAATCGGATTTTTGAGTTAGTTAACATATCTTTTAACACATTTTTTAAAATTTATATATCATTTAGCATTACTCTTATAAATATTATTTAACAATCGTGTGATTACAGTTATTTTTTCTTTCTCAAATTTCTTATCCCTTATTTTAACTATTGCAAAAAATCTAAAATTTTAGGTAAAGAATTATTAAGATATTTTGAAAAAAAGGTTTAAGATACATATTCCTATTATTATTTTCTACTTTTATTGCTATAATAAATATTTTTATTAGCACTTTGTTAATGTATTATTAATTTAATCTGTATAATTTCATTCATAATTTTTAAAGTACGAAAAATAATTATAAAGTATATTTATCAGTTGTAATGACTGTGTGTAAATTTTGTTTATTTGATATACAAGTATCACAGCATTCTGAACTAAAAAATTAATTACAGGTATACGCGAATGGTTAATATAAGATTTACAAAAATAATCGGATTTCAATTTATGGCAAGTACAATGATAATTTGCTCCAATTTGTATCAACTGACTAAATCGGCTTTGAGCGTAAATCATATTCCATTAATTATATATACAAGTTGTATGTTGACGCAAATATTTATTTATTGTTGGTTTGGAAACAAAGTCAGATCAAAGGTATATCTAAAATAGGTCATTAGAAATCATATGTAAGACATTTTACATATTATTATTCTGCAGAGTCTTCAACTAATGGACAATATTTTTCAAATGGAATGGACAGCTTTGAATAATGCTGTTAAAAAAAGTCTCATTATAATTATGAAACGTGCAATGATACCAATTGAAATTTCTACTATATATATCTTAACGATAAATTTGGACTCTTTTGTAGCAGTTAGTACAAAAAAATTTATCTTAATGTAGTTATGTACAATAATCTTTCCAAATAATTGTTTATAAACTGTCAATATTTATAATTTTAATTATATTTATACTATAAAAATTGCTTTATTAAATAAGCTTTATTAAATAAATTGCTTTATTAAATGTTTGTTTGTAATTATATTTAAAAACAATTTAGAAATTTAATAATATAAATTATTATGTATTTATATATAAATTTTATCATGTATAATAATCTTAAATAACGTTTTATCATTTCAGTTGCTCAAAATGTCATATTCTGTTTATAATTTATTGCGGGTACAGTAATATTAGAAATAAAAATACATACGTGATATTTCTTAACAAAATAATTTTCCTATTTATTTTGTGTAATTATAAAAAAAATATAATGAGATTACATTGTCGAATATAATTCTAACGTTTTATATTTTGTTGTGCCACTCGGACACGAGGGGGATTCTAATCCCAGCGGGGAGGTGTTTCTTTTAGGAAGTGCCAGGAGGACAGCCGATATACAGGAGCAGGCTGTGGAAGAACACTGTTTCTGTCTTCACTGACTACACTTCACTTTTATATTATAAAACCGTTTATTTAAAAGAATACTTATGTATATCGTTAGTTTACAACTTAACTCGGAACTCAACGCGAACCTCAATGGTCGGCGGACGTTTACAGATGGACGTTTACTTCACTTGTGAGACGGACGCGATTTTACGGGCAGATGCTACTTGCGGACAGACCGCCTTATCCACCTTCGCTTCCCTTTTATCGGTGCGCATGCTCGTATACGCGATTTTGCGGCCTTGGCGTATCCTCGTGTTTTCAGTCAGTGTTTCGACACGGTGTTATCGCGTGTCAGCGTCCTTACCTGATTACGTAGTGCAATCGGCTTGGTGCTCATTATTCTTCTTTTAATTAAGTTAAAATATAATATGTGTTTTTAATAATATAGTAATGTTATTGAAAATCAAATATATCGCGCGATGCTGTTCAGTGTTGCGCCACTCGCAACAGCTTATTTATTTAAATAAAATG